TAGTTAAGTAAGTTTATAATGTATTAACTTGTCAGCTTCAACATAAAGGAAACTTTAACACAAAAAGACTATTTTTAACCATGTGTTCCCATTCTGTGGGCACTATTTTTAAGGGGCATGTCGAGAATATTTCTTTTGTGGAAGACACCAATAAATTGCAATTAATTAAGTTTGTTTGTGACTTTTTTATTAAAATATATTGTCACAACTTAGCTAAACGAAAAAGTATCACGTTTAGGCCTAACATAGGTCTGCGATAGAAACTCACCAAAATTGTTTTATTCAAAAATATTTAATGTTGTTTTCATTAATAAATCGAGTGTGAAATGAAACATTTTGTACTTGACTATCCTTTCTTTGCAATTACCTATTATTTCACCATGTATAGCTTTGAACTAGTCATGTCAGTTGTGTGAAAAAACATCTAAAATCAAGTTTAGTGAATGGGTAGTTTTAAAGAGTTTAAATGGGTCATTCTATGCAAGAAACAAAACATACATTAAGTTTTAATTGTAAAAAGAGTTTGACATGCATTAGCAATTTTTCATCTCTACATAATCAAACAGAGCAGCATCTAAAAGGTGTGGTTTTGTGTGTGGGCTGCGCCGGCTTCTGCCAGTAGAGAGTGGGGGTACCCCGGACCGCGCGGCCAACACTGAGCCAGCGATCCATGAGTTGTTTATATCGTTGGAAAAATGGGTTTTCTCATTTTTGACCCTCAAAATTTCCCAATTTCTCACCAGAGCTTTTTCAAGAGCTTAAAACAAATAATTTAGTATATCAAAGTGTTTTAGTACGGTTATTGGTTATGGAGAAAATAAAAAATTAATTTAACATTCCAATGTTATTCTTATGGAGAATATTGTAAAATGGTTTAGTTTGCTTGCTAATGGATATATTTTGATCGAACTTGGCAAATTTATTTATTTTATACTAAGAGCTATTCATATTTTACTAAAAAGCTAAACTTAATTTGTTTCCCTGTAGCAGCAAGCCTAGGTACTCATTAAACCCAATGTTAATTAAATAGATTTAATTACAAATCAATTCAGGCAGATGGAAATTCGCTTAGTCGGCAGTTTTGCTGTGGCGGGGGTATTAAATATTATCTTATAGAAGGATAGAAAACAGATGGTGGCAACTAAATTGCAAATAGTTTTATTTGAGAAGTTTTACTAGGCCTATTGTCTTAGAAGTTATGGAGAAAATTATAATGGAATAAACATAAAATTTATCATTACTTTTTCTGCCACCAACGACATACAATTATCGCCATTCACAATTTTGTGCCACTCCAATAAATTCTTCCTGAATAAATATTAATGGATTAAACGCATTACTGTATTTTATTAGTAAACAAACTCTTTATTTAGGTATGTGAAGCTGGCAGCGCCCATATTTAAAATAAACTTCGAAATAACCTAAATCGTTTGTTTATCGGTTGTTTAGGTTTGTTTAGCTATTTTTGACGTTTGTTTGGCCTTAGTTGCTTTTAAAAACGAAAAATAAAGTGGGCGCTGCTAGCTTCACACCAGCAGCGCCCATTTGTCGTTTTGAGCTAAAAACCATTGAAATCGATTGTTTATCGTTTGTTTAGGTTTGTTTAGCTATTTCCGTCGTTTGTTTGGCTTTAGTAGCTTTAAAATTAGAAAAAAAGTGGTCGCTGCTAGTGTGAAGCTAGCAGCGCCCATTGGTCATTTTGAGTTAAAAACTATTGGAATCGATTGTTTATCGTTTGTTTAGGTTTGTTTAGCTATATTCGTCGTTTGTTTGGCCTTAGTTGCTTTAGAATTAGAAAAAAGTGGTCACTGCTGGTGTGAAGCTAGCAGCGCCCATTGGTCATTTTGAGCTAAAAACCATTGAAATTGATTGTTTATTGTTTGTTTAGGTTTGTTTAGCTATTTTCATCGTTTGTTTGGCCTTAGTTGCTTTAGAATTAAAAAAAAGTGGGCGCAGCTGGTGTGATGGTGGCAGCGCCCATTGGTAATTTTGAGCTAAAAACCATTGAAATTGATAGTTTATCGTTTGTTTAGCTATTTCTGTCGTTTGTTTGGCCTTAGTTGCTTTAGAATTTGGAAAAAAGTTGTCGCAGCTGGTGTGAAGCTAGCAATATTGGTCATTTTAAGTTAAAAACCATTGAAATCGATAGTTTATTGTTTGTTTATGTTTGTTTAAAACTATTTTCGCCATCGTTTGTGAATATCGAGTAACTAGTGGTTTTGTAGGTGTTTGCCCTGGGATTAGATGTTAAAAATTCGATGCTAACACCTATCGTCTTCACCAAAGTGATCACTTTTTTATATTGCCATATTGTTTTAAATTATTAATTCATTTCATTTTTATTTTACAATATTATTTCAACAATTATATATGACCAACTATTTTGTGTTACTTATCAGTACCTTCAGTTCCCTATGACCAGAAGACTTTATGTCTGCTAATGCCCTTGTATTGTGTGATTGTGATAGCAAACAAGATAACATGAGATTGAAACCACCTTTTTTAATTGTGTTGATTTATTTTTTAATCTGTGCACACACTGCAACTGATTAATCCATATTTATTTCGGTACTAAATCTTTCAATCTGTAACCAGCAGTTTATGTGTTTATTTTTTCGTAAGTCAATAAAAAATGCCCGCCTTATAACACATTGAGGTATACGTGTAATGCAAGAAATCTAGCTATATCTTATTAACTTATGTATTTAGTGTTTTATTCTTTTTTTATTATGTTGATTGTTTTGGGTTCTCTTGAGGGGTTAGCCTATCTCACCAATGTTAAATTTGTCATCTTTAGGAACACATTTCTTCAAAGGTTCTAAAGCCATTGCCCTCAAACTTAAACTTAAAACAACTTAATAATTAACCTTCATAAGTTTTTTTATAAGATACTACAAAAATTAATACCCCCGCCGCAGCAAACCTGCAGACTAAGCGAATTTCCATTTGCCTGATTGGATTTACACTAAAATATATCACATTTATTCCCTATTTAAATAGAATTAGTTTAACGAGTACTTAGGTTTGCTGCAACAGGGAGGGTAAAAAAATGTTTTTTGTTGTAAAATGTTAATAGTTTAGAAAAAAATTAATTTATTTTCCAAATTCCATCATATGTCCATTAACAAGCAAACTACAACAGTTGATTTATTCCCCATAAAAATAACATGGGAATTTTAAATTTTGGAATTTTCTCCGTAACCATTAGGCACACAATAACGCTTCAATATACAAAATGATTTGTTTTTTAAGCTATACAAGATGGTTTGGAAAAAAATTGTGAAATTTTGTGTTTTAAGGGTCGAAAATGGGAAAAACCTATTTTTACCCCATAAAACCCCCTATAAACCCCCGTTCCCATAGTCCGATCATGCTGGTTCGCGAACTCGTTCGAATAAATGTAGGTTTACACGTTTATACCAAATTTCATCATTCCGTGAAATTTTTCATGTATGTACCCAGTTTCGTGGCCATCGGTCCAGCGGTGTCTTGAGTTTATCAATGCCAAATATACAAATATAAAAACCAACATCCTCTTCTATACATATAGATAACACTTAACATCGCTTCGTAACTTTGTTGTTATCTATAAATAACAATGTAACTAGAACATTTAAAAGCAACTAAGGCCAAACAAACGTCGAAAATAGCGAAACAAACCTAAACAAACGATAAACAATCGATTTCATTGGTTTTTAGCTCAAAACGACGAATGGGCGCTGCTAGCTTCTCACTAGCAGCGACCAATTTTTTCCTAATTCTAGAGCTACTAAGGCCAAACAAACGATGAAAATAGCTAAACAAACCTAAACAAACGATAAACAATCGATTTCAATGGTTTTTAGCTCAAAACGACGAATGGGCGCTGTTAGCTTCACACTAGCAGCGACCACTTTTTTCCCAATTCTAAAGCAACTAAGGCCAACCAAACGACGAAAATAGCTAAACAAACCTAAACAAACGATAAACAATCGATTTCAATGGTTTTTAGCTCAAAACGACGAATGGGCGCTGTTAGCTTCACACTAGCAGCGACCACTTTTTTCCTAATTCTAAAGCAACTAAGGCCAAACAAACGACGGAAATAGCTAAACAAACCTAAACAAACGATAAACAAACGATTTCAATGGTTTTTAGCTCAAAACGACGAATGGGCGCTGCTGGTGTGAAGCTAGCAGCGCCCACTTTTTTTTTCGTTTTTAAAAGCAACTAAGGCCAAACAAACGTCAAAAATAGCTAAACAAACCTAAACAAACGATAAACTTTCATTTAGGTTATTTTGAAGTTTGTTTTAAATATGTTAAGAAATAAAGATTTCGTTATCTACGGAGAGAGAGACTTCCAAAGAATGACTCGTTAGCTACTCCCAGTCCTAGATATCGCGTACATTGTTTTCATCACACTACGATGTCATCAGGCGTTTACGGAACGTCATTTGTTGAACAAAAGAAACATTAGGAGGTAGGGCTGCAAAACGTCGTTCCTAATGTCCAATATCTTTGCTTACGGTCCTGTCGATATGTTCTTAATTTATTTCTTCAAAACATCAATTGTTCAAATATAACAACTTTCCAAAGGTTTTGGGCATACATTAGAGAGGGTCTAGAACAATAACGATCTCAAAACTCAAAGTTGTGATATCGATGTTTTTTCTTGTTAACATGTTATTTTACTTTCCACTCTCTCAACCCCACTCTTAATGGTATTCGTTTGGTACTGCTAGGTTAGATAATACTAACGCAGTTTCGTATGATAATAAAATATCGGACCGAGATAACAAGAAAGTACTGTACCGGTATTTTTGATACGATGTAACAATGTATTAAGTTTACCTAACTTGACCAACCTTGCGAGAAAGTCAGATAAGTTCAGTGCAAGTTTTTTACTTTACAGAACAAACAATATAAATTAATATATTTGGAATGATCCGTAGTTTTACAAACTATGTATTTTTCATTTGCCTAATTTAGTTACAGTAACTAAAAGCTTCATTATTTTACAGGGGATTGTACTTTCGCCATCTTCGTGACGATCAGCTAAACACGGGGTGTTTTACTGAGATATCTTTTCATAGATCTCGACTAGGTAAGTTTTTCAAAATTTCACATTACCATACCTTGTAATTTTAACTATTGACGGAAGTAGACATCTCATTACCAAGTGTAATGCTGTTGCTAGGTTTGAATTAAACCCACAACAGAGTGCTGTTGTCAATCACAGATTTCTGTCAAACATTTGCCAAACTGAAGGACATAGCCTACTGTATCTTCTGTGTCACAATACCAACAACCAATAGAGCAGCTCACTTTGTGGAAGGTCCAATCAACTAATATTTGGCTACAACTGATCCATGTATTCATTGATGGGAAGGTCTTTTTTAGCGATTGTCTTTATAGGGAAGAAGCCTTTTTACATGGTGGCATGGAAAGATCTGGGACGGATTCTCTATTTCATTTTTATGCCCCGAGAGGCAAAATTACCATTTGTTCAATTTTTCCTTGCTAACTCGAGCATTTGTGGTCCTAATTTGATTGAATTTGGCAAGGATGTGTACGGTAGGATAAACTTTACGAGTTTTTGGAACAGCATGATTGGACTACGACAACGGGTTTTTTGATACAAAAGTTTGATTTCCCATTTTTACTCTGAAAAGATAAAATTCCGCAATTTCGTTTGTACAGATTTGGTAGATATTGGAAAACTAAATAATTTAGTAGGTACTGTAAAGTAACTCGCTACTGTCCGCTTAATACACTTAATAAAATATGTAGAACATTCTTCAAGAAGCAGTATATATGCAATTTCCTGCTTAGGAAAATTATGTTATCTGTTGTATCAAAAAATCAAAAGTATAAAAAAGTCGACAGAGTGTGGTTGTTGGTTGGTGGTTAGTCTGGCGTTATCGAGGTCATCCAGTGATGATTGTCCCTGGCTGGGGTCAAGGTCACTGGAACACTGGAATATCGACGACTGCCTTCCTATCTTCCACTAGAGATTGGCCCACACACCCCGTCTTGTCTGCTATATAGTATAACCAACAACTCAGTATCTACAGTCTACAGACAGAGTGTGGTTGGGTTGTTGGTTGGCGGTTAGTCTGGCAGTATCGAGGTCATCCAGTGATGATTGTCCCTGGCTGGGGTCAAGGTCACTGGAACATTGGAATATCGACGACTGCCTTCCTCTCTTCCACTAGAGATTGGCCAACACACCATGTCATGTCTGCTATATAGTCGCAGTCAGCAGTAACAGTGACCAAGAGCCGAAGACTCCAGGTCATTCGTTGATATAAAAACGGGTCAACAATAAGAATTGTTCAAAACCTGGTTTACATTTCAGTAGGTACTCTTACACGCTTTAGGATATATGATTTGAACCCTTCGCCCACTTTAAAACTGACAAAAATATAAGTTTCTGCAATTGCGTTGGTGAAGCTGTTGGTCGATGCAACTAAACCAACCAAACTGCTTATCGCTATATATTGAAATTGATTTGCTTGGATTTTTTTTAATATTGGGTTTCATTGATAGGGAAATGTTATTGTATATATGTTGTACACGGAATGTTGTATATACCTTATGATATTAAGATCTTATCGTACAATACACCCCTCAATTTTATTCGGGACGCTCCAGGAGCGCTTGTAGAAATTAGACCATTCACGAGTCTTCTTCATTTTTAGCAGCGGTGCCAATTCTTCTTGGCACGTAGAGTATAGTAACCATTAATAACACGATAATTCATATTATTTGATAACATTAACTGTCAATTTTTGTTTGTCAAAATCTGACACGAGTAAATGGATTCATAACAACGCACCTTTTGATAGCGAGTTGTACCTTCTCAAGGTTATCTCTACTGCCTAGTGCATACCCACGGCTATCACTAATGCTTTAACCGTTAACCACATCTATATTTTTGTCTTGAGATATTGTCTGTGCTGTAATCGTCTGTGTAACTGAGCATTCTTTCCGTGATCTAAGCATACATTCAGGCCAGTGAACTAAGTCAGAAGAAGTATATTAGTAATAATTGCTTAATTACCGTTACTAGAATATGTCCAACGACTCTAATCCAACGTAGACCTATATAGGTTTGTTGAGGCCTGAGCATACTGTTTATGGCCCAAGAAACTAATGTGCTCAGGAAATAATCTTACATGTGAAAGTTTGTGTGTTTGTTTGTTTGTAGTTCAATCACGCATCACCTACTGGACGGATTGGGCTGAAATTTGGCATGATGATAGCTCACATTCCCGATTAACATATAGGCATACTCTTATCTCAAAAATCATTTCGGGCTCCGACCCAGTGGCTCTAGAGTTTCTCATGTTAACCTTATGAGTATTCATATTAAAAAGGAATTAGAATTTTGCAAGCTGTTTCAAATACATAATTTGTTTCTATGGTATTCAATAGCATTAAAAGGTTATAAAATTTACCAACAGGGTGCTGCACCATTAGTTCTTAAGGGGATATGGCAGTGAAATAATGATTTTTTTTTCAAAAAAGTGATTTTTTAAATTTGTCTATTATTTATTATTTATAATGCTAAAAATAAGAAACATTGGTCAAAAATAAAAAAACAATGTTTTGTTGTGCTTAGGCTATATTAAGAAAAATACGGAAAATAGTTTTAAATATCCGGTCATGGACTTATTTCAGTAATAAAAATAATAATAATAACAATTATTATTGTTAATAATATAATAATTAAGTTATAATTACATAATAATATAATAAATAATAATAAAATGCTTGCATAAACAAAAAATTGATCCATAATTCAACAATAAGTATCACCATGGTTACACTACCACGTGTAACTTTTAGCGTGCTATTCCCGCTAATCAGTTTCTTAACATTTTTAACTACTAAATTTGATATATCTTCAAAATGGTTTATGCTACATGATTCAAATTTTTACCAAGTGTTTAGAATGTTATTATCTAAATAATTAGGTAGAATTGTAAATGTATGTCTATTCTAAAGTGAATAAAGTTTTTTTTTTATTTCCACAGAAAACCAATTTTTTTTTATTACAAAATGACCCATAAAAAAGTAATAAATCAAGATACTGTTATAATTCTACCTAAATATTTAGAGGGCATTATTCCCTGCAAACTGATGGTTTAATGATTAAAATAAAATAATTAGAACTGAAGTTATATCAAATTTAGTCAATTACCTAAAAAAAAAAACTAAAAAATATTAAGAGTGTACTTAACGAAAAAAATTACTTTTAACTATGTTTATACCTATTCTTTATGCCTATTAAACACATGGTATAAGTTTGGAAGACGTAGTGATAATGTTAAGGAAGTTAGCATATTTACTGTCATATCCCCTTAATACATTTTATGACAACAGCTAATTTGAACCAAGCAGCAACAAAAAGCTGTGAGAACTTTACTTCGTTCTATTGTTTAGGTGAAGTGGTAGAACATTATTATGGCTATGGTAGATGTAGTACTATAGTATACCGTAAATTATAGTAACCCATATTTTCTTAAAACATGCCTCTCCTATTGCAAATGTAAAGCGCGAGTATAACTGCAATAAACATTGTATACTTTACGCCAACCCCGTACGAAGGACACTCGGCTAGTTATTTCATATTGCTACGTCGGAGTCGAGCAAATGAACACTCCATGTGGCATGCATTGATGTGTCGCCTTGATCCATATTTAACAGTTGTGACCTAAATAAAGCTGCTAAGCTCATCGATGTATAGGCGTCATTAATTGTACCCACGTGCAGCTGACGACGAAACAATGAATATTATAATCTACCGCAGTTATGTATAAAATAGTATCCTCCCTGTTATTATGTCCTCCGAAAAATGTCTCAGCCATTTCTCAAAATATATTGCACAAACATTAATCATGTACAATGTTTATTAGAGTCACGCTACCCTTTTAGATTAGTTATTTTTTGGAACTAATATTTTAGGGACACCCAACACCTATTAGAAAACATTATCTTGCATTTTTACTAAGCACATGTTTAGCCGCTAGCCGCTAGCTGAAGCTGCGTCGCTGCGTGGTGTGGCTATGTTCCAATTCCGAATTCTAAATGACTTTTGACGCGTGCACGTGGCCCCCTCCCATCTCCTGACGCACCCCTCTCGCTGTTTATTTTTATTGTGAAAATCCCCCAATGATAGCGATTCGGTTGTCATTTTGTGGTCTCCTCAAAGAAATCTCAATATTGACTTTTCAGAGAACTGTGATTCTAGTGCGACATACTTCCAGGTAAAACAGCTTTTACAGCTTTGCACATAATCTTCGTAGATCGTGATGACTTTCTTCGACAGTCCTGATACGAAATGTTCAGTTATCACTTATCAGTAATCTGCACGTTGCATAAAAAGTATTGTTGGCTGAGTGTTTGCGGTAGATTGCGGTGTTATCTCTGACACATACGATGATAGTGATCGTGTGCGTGTCACGTGACTCACGGTTCAAGGTCACGGACACACAAAGCCGACCGTACAAGGAAATGTCACACAAGGTCACATGAGCACTTCGCACGTCCGTGTCATCAGGGTGCCGAATCGTAATTTTTACCACCAAACGTGGTATATAATTTGTAGCCGATTACACATTATTTGAAAATAATAATTACCACTTTGGTTGATTGTTTGAACAGTTGAGTAGACGCAAGACGTAAGTCGTAGGAGTAAGTGCAAGCGAAGGCGTGTGGCACAGTCGGCCATGTGTTGTGTTTAGATCTGCCAGCTGGTGGCTGAGGCTGGCGAGGAGGCCTACATCGTACATTGTACATGGGGCTGTGAAGCTTGGGACAAGTCAGATTTGAGTTTGCAATATACCATTCTGTGGCAATTAGTTATCAGAGGCTATAAAGCTCGTGGCTCGTACCGCCCTCAAGTGGACGTCAAAGCACCCCCTCCACCTAACCCCTCATCGCCGCCCCCGCAAACACCCGCCATCCTCTGTGGGGGAGGTATTGGATCGATTAAAGTACTGATAAAATGCTTATCATCACCCCCACCTTACTGACTTCGGAGTATTATCTCTTTCTTATATTCAACTGTTGACTTTTTACTGAAACATGTGGCTAAAT